CTGCAAAACATTTGCATCTCAACAGAAAAGCAAAGCAGCCTTACTAATCTTTAACTAGTAGTCTAATTAGCATTACTTAATAAACTCATCAACATCCATTTGTGTATGTCACAAAAAAAAAGACAAAATGTGAAAGACAAAATGTCAGAACTTAAATCAGAACTTCAACTCTGATTAGTCGGTCTGGTTTATATGATCTGTTCAGTACAGATCAGAATACTCGCAGCATGGAGGAGCAGTTTGTCTAGCAGCCATCTTCTGTTCTCAGATGTGACTGCAGGCAAATCCCATGACAGTGCCAACAGATCTGCTGTACCCTCCAGCTAATAATGACAATTAGAATTAGAATAGATTAGAATTCCTGATTTCTCAAGACTTGCATAATATTCAGATTTGATACAACAAATAGGGAAAGGACAACTTGTCAATAATCACGTGGTTGACGACACCCACTGGTCTCAAACCACACGCCAAATAATGTAATTTTTTATCACTTTTGAACAGCATGTTGGGAACCTGTTAAAACTGTGTTTGCTCTAAAAACACATTTTACACGATGACATCCGTCACTATAATTACATGTTTTAAAGAAATGGACTTAAGTTTATGGTTTTAATATTGCTTCAGGACCCCCTGCTGGTTTAAATTAGTAAATTATGTGATTGTGGTATTATAAATATCTGAGAAAAATTTCTGACATCAGGTATTACTTTTATTGTCCTTGCCCCAAATTTGTATCATTAAAATCTTACTGGAAAAATGTATTTTACCACTTTGATTGTCTCACGGATGTCAAGGTCAGCACAGTCCTTAATATCTATTATGGCTTCTTCTGGGGATCCACCAAAGATCACATTCTGAGTCCTCCAAGGCATGGCCCATTATGGAGGAATGAATGACCAATCATTCGGCCAGCAACAACAAAGAAGTCACTCTCCAAAAGGTAATGCCAAGTGGAGGGAATCAGATGATCTTGTTCTCCCTCAAAAAGAAGAGTTCCACCTGGTACTTCAATTAAAAGAGAAAAGGGAAAGAACATTGATAGTGCAGAATGTAAAGGACGTAGATATTCAAACTTTCATACAGAATTAGTAAGGAAATATCAATCAGCCACTGAATACTTTGGGTGATCCTGTAGAAACCTACAGGGCCACAGCAGCTGCGTCACATTTGTTTGTTCTTTAAGGTTTTAGGTATTCTCTGGGTAAGTAGAGACAGATCTGTTGTCAGCCTGGAACTGGTGCAAACCAAACACAGAGCCTGATAGCTGACAACCAGCCATCAGCCAAAGTGAATATTCACTTACCAAAATTCATCTCCAAATGAAGTTTGGACATGATGCTTGCAAAGAAATGGCGAGTCACATCATCACCAATTGCTGGATCTCCTGAAAAAGCAAAATACACAGTACAGACATCAGTTAAATGAATATATGATCATTTTTTATCTTTGTGTGTGTAACCAATTTACCCTTGAGTGTGCATGTCAAGGGGCAAGCCCACTCAGCATTAGCCCTCTTATAAAAAGAAAGGACTGTCCTCTGCACTGTCCTCATGATCCATCGTAAGATAGAATGACTTTCCAGTTGCATGCTGGCTTAAAATGTCTTCTTTGAATCCCTTTGCTGCCTCACTGGGATTTGAAAGAATTTTCCAATCTAAAAAAAGTTTTTAAATTGTTTAAATGAATACTGGATGAATTGATATGTAGAGAGCAACAATGTATTGCAATAAATGATTAAATGATGTAACACACCTGGGAAGCCTCCCTCCTCAGTGGGATCTAGGTCAACTATCTCAGGAGCAGCCACATGTCCCTGAGAGGTGGCACGCAGTAGTTTGTGTTGCTGGCCCTTGTTGTCTCACTTGTAGTCTTGTCAACATGCTCACAAATCTACCTTCACTTCGGGAGGCACTTTCTGTGGTCACCACAATTTCTACCTCACCACTGTTCTGTGATGGTCTTGGGTAAAGAGAAGCACGTTTTGTTATTGGGCCAGCATATTTTATATTACATTACAAATTCACAAAAATGCTGCAACTAGAAAAGAATGTTCATATAAATAGAATAGAATGAATCCATTCAAATTCAACTTTCCCTCAAGACCAATATTCAGGATCATACAGGATCCTGCATATTTTTTATGCATTATTGAAGACAGAACAATTTGGTTTTACAGAGAGATTGTTGGTATCAAAATATCTAATATTAGGGCCCATAATTATGACACATCAGATGTACTGTCTTGTCATAATGTTTGCCCTGCATTTTTACAGTTTAGAGCTATAATTGTTTATCTTACATCCACATTCAAAATGCTTTACATCTTTTGGCAGACACTCAGAGCCTAATGCTTAATGTCTGATGTACGACTACTTGAGTGCTTGACAAATGTGACGTTTTAGTTCTGTAGAGCGATACCTCACGCACTCATCACTGTGAGCCTTGATTCTTGTCAAAGGGAACTCCTCTCCACACGTCACACATTTCTGAGGTGGTCCAACTAACTCATTACTGCATTCTGGTTGACATGGCTGTAAACAAGATCATTTAAAAATTTAACACAAGCTATAGATTTATATACTTTAAGACTTTTACTCAAGTAGTATTCTAATAGGTGACTTTCACTTTTACTGGAGTCATTTTCCAGTAAGGTATCTTTACTTTTACTCAAGTATGGCTTTTGGGTACTTTATACACCACTGGCAATTGGTATGTAAAGTTAATACTACAAAAGTAACATTTTGGCTGGCATTAGTTAATGTCCCTTGAGTTTAAGGCTTAATCCCATTGTGAAGGACATCTATGGCAGACTGACAGATTTCTTCAACAAATACAGTGGGTACGGAAAGTATTCAGACCCCTTTAAATTTTTCACTCTTTGTTTCATTGCAGCCATTTGCTAAAATCAAAAAAGTTAATTTTATTTCGCATTAATGTACACTCAGCACCCCATCTTGACAGAAAAAAACAGAAATGTAGAAATTTTTGCAAATTTGTTAAAAAAGAAAAACTGAAATATCACATGGTCATAAGTATTCAGACCCTTTGCTCAGTATTGAGTAGAAGCACCCTTTTGAGCTAGTACAGCCATGAGTCTTCTTGGGAATGATGCAACAAGTTTTTCACACCTGGATTTGGGGATCCTCTTTGGGGATTAATCTGCATCATCTAAACAGTGGGGGGCTACATGTCAACACAGCAGCCCTCCATGTCGTTCTTAAAAAGAGACTCCACGACACTAACAACATGAGAACAAAGTGAAGTGCTGCTATATTTAAAATAATTCTGACAAAACAGAGCAGTCAACTTACCTCCACGTCACCGTAACCTCCCGTCTGTGTTTAGATGATGCAGATACCGAGAGACAAGTCAAACCGACCAATAGAAACTCCTGGTACATTCAGCAGCGTATGCCCCGCCCACTACACCCAACTCAGCTTTTGGTTTCAAAACCAAAGCTTTTCGTTTTGAAACCAAAGCTTTTTTTTTCAACCAAAGATATTTTTTTTCAACCAAAGATTGTTTTGTTTTTAACCAAAGAGTTTATTTTTTTAACCAAAGATTTTATTTTTTTAACCAAAAATTCTAGTTTCATAAGCAAAACTAACAAATAAATTATTCTCAGTTTATATATTTTCACTTACAAACTTCATTTTTGATTGCAGTGCGAGAAATTTGCTTTAAAAATTTTTTTTGTTTGTTTGCGTAATAAAGACACAAATATACCTTCATACCTTTGGTGTGAACGCACCATGAGACAGGAGGGACCAACAGTGACGGAGTGAAGGGGGGGGAGAGGCAGCAGGAAGAGAAGGGAGAGATGCCACACAAACACAGCTGTTCACTGCTTGCTGCCAAGGTTCTTGTGTTAAAAATGCCCGCTTAATAATACATTTTAAAAAACTCCGTTAAGGCGCGATAAAATAATTGTCGGCGTTAATGAATGAATGCGTTAACGCTATATTAACGCGTTGACTTGCCCAGCCCTACTATTTTCATTTCCTCAGCTGGCTGCAAGACATTCTGAGCCCCATAAAGGTTGGGAACCGCATACCCCGTTGCAGTGGCCGGACACAAAGTTTCAAGTCATGATATTGACTATTTTCTTTTATGTTATATTATATTTTCTCTTACCTGTGTTTTAATATTCAGAGCATTTCTTTGCCATAAAACTGTATATTGCTGATGTGTTTTAAACCCGTAAAATGTTGTTGAAATAAATGCTCAGGTGTTGTTCATTTAATTTCATTGGATAGCAAAAACAAACAAATATAATATGTTTAAAAATAGATTGGCCAACTTAGATTTTTTTAAGTGGGTGTAAGTTTGGTCAACGAAATGGCAGTGGGATATAACAGTCTTTTGACCTTTTACAGGTTGGTCCTGTATTTCAAAGAAATATCATAATGAAAATTACAGTATGATATTAATGGCGATATGTATAATAAAATTGCAAAGGTTTCAGGGTGAAAATGAAAACTCATCAGGGTTTGTCCCAATTTATACATCAAACAAAGCTTTTATATGACACATAGGGCAACTCAAAATGTAACAATAAACAACCAACAAACATTAGTAAACATTAGTAGACTACGGGCATTACAGGTTTGGCCATCTTTTGTGTCGTTGAGTGAAACTGACAATTGTATTTAACTAAATAGTTGACGTTATGCATCCAAAGTTGAAGGTCGCTAACGGCACACTGAAAAGAAACCCAAGAAGTTGACCTTGCGCTAGGCAGCTTGGGAAATGAATTTCTTGCACGTCTTAGCTGCGTTTCACAGTCGGACCACAGTGAACTACATTTCCCATGGCTCTGTGCGCAGTTGGGGTTACATACTGCTCTCCACGCAGTCTGGGCTGAAGCAGCGTTAAATGTGGTCCTTGAACGACACATAACCAGGGGACATTCGCATGGCCCTCAGCATAAAGCGGTACGGTTTTGACTTGAACCCTTCACGTAACATTCAACGTAAGTGTAGTCCGCTTTCTATCCTTTGCTTCGGTATGTTATACTTGTATAGTGACAACTTGTGTTCCTGCCTGTGAGGGTTAGCAGTGCTGCTAGCTTACAGCTAATGTTAACTAGCTAACGTCGGGCGTCAGAAGCCAAAGTTGGCAGCAGTTCCGAGCCTGGCCGCCTGCCAATCAGTGTCTAAAGAAGAAACACTGTCTGCGTCAATACGATGAAAGCCGCTTTAATTCGCCTTCCTCTGCTGCGTTCCCCAGCAAACTAAGACCTAAAAGCTTCTTCCTCCTTGTCCTCCAAAAAAAACTGTCCAATGTCAACTGAAATAGATGCACGTGGAAAGCTAGCATCGGTTTAGCTATAGACTTCCGGTCGGAACTTTTAAAATAAGGCAAGACAAATTCCTACAGTCGTTTTATCCTACAGTCTATTTGAGTACTTTTATTGTGAAGATAACATTAACGACTTCCGGTCTTATTGTGGAGCTGTCGCACAGCTAGCAGTATTGTGGCTAACGTTAGCCGCTAGTAGGTTCACCAGAAGTTTTGCAACGCAACAGGAATCCTTGCCTTCTTGTTTAGTAAAGGCGTATCCTCGCTAACGTTACCTTTTTGAAACGTAATCTGAGTTAGCCTTACGTTTTTGAGACCAGCATTCTTGAACTCAACGTTAGTTTATGAAACTCAACCACCCACTCGTTTGCATTGATGATTGTGCAAGCATAACTCAAGGTATGTTCAGGGACCTGTAATCTGTTTCATAACCTGTGTTATCAATGAATATAAAGGAGATCACGCTATAGATAACGCATGACAGAAATGTAGGTCATGGTTGGTTAGCTCAGTGACTTGTAAAAGATAAGAGTTGGCTTGGTGGTTTCAGTACTTTATCAGAGGAGCTAGCTTTACTGTATAATAACATTTATGAACAATATGCTTTTAATCCAAAATAACATAGGCATATGAATTATAGTATAATCATAAAAAAAACTTGCTCTTGGAGTGTCAACATATCGGCACTCCGTAGTTTGGCAATGAGGTCATACACTGCTCAGTGTGTCAGGCAGTTCTCGCTGTGATGGAGACACAGAATGGACTGCAGGCATTTCACATGTATTTTAAAGGCTGATCAAGACCTTTTGATGGACATTTTCCAGCAAGGACAATCAACATAGATTAACTGCAATGTATCCATGTTGTGCAGGGAAGATCACAGTTAGGTGTTGATCAAAGACAGTTTAATGAAAACGGTGCATTTCAGTAGTATGTTTGGGGGCCTCGGGGAGACTTTTATGTCAGATTTGGTGTCGTTGACATGAAATATGGAAAACTCTTCATGTGCTGGATTTAGCCTTTGTTTTTCCAGAGACATGTTTATGATTCAGACTCGTCATTGCATAAAAATGCCCATTTGGTCTTGTCTATAGTTCTCAGTCAGACAGAGTGAATTCAGGAAGATCGTAGAGCAAAAAGGATTAGTCAGATAATCGATTAGTCTTTTGACAGAAAATCAATCGGCAATCATTCAAATTCAAAGGCAAAAATATCAGGCTTCTCAATTCAATATTTGCTGTTTTTTTTAGTCTTCCTTGATTATAACCTATAAATTGCTCAGTGGGCCAAAGCACACAGATACATTGGAGTCTAGAACCTGTAATGGACTTTGAATATTTTCTTACATGATACAACTCAATGAGTAATCGATTACTCAATGCAGCAATTGGGAGATTAATTGATAATTAAAATGATTGTTAGCTGCTGCACTAAACAAGGATGTAATGTCACTGCCTAGATTTTGAGTTGATGAAATGTCTGTCTCATCCCACAGTCTGTGGTTAAACGTCACAGCAGCAGAGAGGTGGGGAGGAGCAGAGGGGGGGTGAAAATGCAGCGCATCCTAAATCACGGGACTCTGCAGCGTTTGGCAGCAGCACGGCCATTACTGGTGGGCGTCGCCGTCCCCGAACCACCAGCAGCGTTCTGCTGCTGTGTCCTCCGCCTGTCACCGCCGGCACCCGAAGGCCAGCGCTGGCTGTCGACCACAGCCTCCAGCAAGGCGGCACATCAGCCAAAACACCAGGCACCGCAGGAGGAGCCCCAGTCCGGCTCCACACCTCAAACACAGGAGGTCCAGAAAGAGGACGCTGGGGCTGATGCAGTGGAGGTGGACCCTCTGCAGGACAAGTCCATCGGTTTGGTCCAGAGGTTTAAGAGGACCTTCAAACAGTATGGGAAGGTGATGATCCCTGTACATCTCATGACGTCCTCAGTCTGGTTTGGAACCTTCTATTACGCTGCCATGAAGTGAGTCTTGTTGTGTTCTGAGTTCATGGCTGTCCATTATAGATCAACATTAACATTTGTTCCTGAAATAGATTTATTTAAAGTCTTTTTTTGGAAGAATGACAGACTGTATTTTATGTGCTGCACAATCTTAACTCTGGATACTAACTCCCTCCGTTTGTCTTCCTCTCAGAGGTGTGAATGTAGTGCCCTTCCTGGAGATGATTGGTCTACCAGAGTCACTCGTCAGCCTTTTGAGAAACTCTACGAGTGGCTACGCTCTGACTGCGTACGCCATGTACAAGGTCATTTAATCCAGGATCCTCTGTTTTTTTTTTTTTTTTTATTAAAATGAACATCAAACATTTTGATTAATTGATAAGCATCAAAGCATTGTTTTAATGAAACATTCACACTTACCTAATTTATATCAGCGTGTGTCTCATTTCCTCGGTCAGTGTGCATGTATCCAACCAGCTATTTATGAGTGATGGATTCTGGCATTGTGCTCTGCTGACCAGCATGTGTGTTTTTCTTTGTTTCCCTACAGATTGCAACCCCTGCTAGATACACAGCAACCCTAGGCGGCACGTCACTCTCTGTTCAGTATCTCCGCAAGCACGGCTACATGTCCACACCGCCGCCGGTCAAAGAATACATCCAGGACAAAATGGAGGAGACGAAGGAGAAACTGACTGGAAAGATGGAGGAGACAAAGGACAGATTTTCAGAGAGAATGGAGGAAACTAAAGAACTCTTCTCTGAGAAAATGGAGGAGACTAAGGACAAGCTCTCTGAGAAACTGCAGGAAACCAAAGACAGAGTCACAGAGGGGAAAGCGTTTTTTCGGAAGAAAAACGAGTAGCGAATCCCCTTTGCTCGTGGGGCCTCTGAGTAGATGATTCTATTTTGATCTCAACAAGTAATCCGTAGGTTTGGGCCAAGTAACAGCACTTGTAAGACTTTTCTGAAAGATGAAAGACTGGTCCTAAAGTTTCACACATCTCAGTTGTCCACTGTTGTCTATTTTATGTGTCAAATGCAGTCCCTAATTGTCCAAACACGATGCACAGTAAGTGTAGACTAGACAGCAGCTTAGCAGACTCCTGGCTACGCCACACTCTGGCTCAGTCATCTCAGACTGGATTTACACAGGCTCAAGTGATCTGGGTCATAAAACAACAGAAGAGAAGCTGCGTTCTTATTGCGCTTTACATAAACACATGAGGAAAATAAGAAGTCTGTGCTTCAAAGAGTTAAAAAAATAAACCAGTATAACAGTAACTGTATGGGAGAGAGCAGTACCAATATTTCTTGTTGTTGGGAAAATAAAAGTTGAAGCTCTTGGTTACCTGTGTGTACTAGTCCATCTAAGCCTGTCTGAAAGGCTGGGTATCAATGTGTCTTTTCTAATGTAATCGGAAAGAAATTCAGTTTTTCTAATGTATTTAAAGCCCAATGCATGTCTGTACCACTTCATGTATGGCCTGAAAGTTACAAAGTCAAATGATGATTTGAAAGCTGCTCTTTAAACAGAAGTCACAGTAGATGTCGGTTAATGGAACTAATTGTCCGTCACACATGTAAAGGTACAGCTACAGTGGGCCCACTCACTGTGATTATGGCCACCTATCACAGTGGGCCAGATGAAATGTCTTGGGCACTTTTGTACTAAATACACAAATCTTCTCGTCAGTAATTCAAACATGTCTCTGAATAAAATCAAATGCTAATCATCCAAGTTTTGTACGCTGCATTTAAAGACCATGTGGGTACTGACACTAGCAAAATATAGACATGTTTGTGCTTAAAGTGGGACTTAACTTTAGATAGAAGTAACAGATTGTTCCACTTCAAAATAAAACAGTTAAATTCATAACCCATGGTCAACGCTCAGCTGCATACACTACGAGGTTTTCCTGCTGCCTCACCTGGTCTGATGTCACCAGAAGCTCATGGTGGCTAATCTTTGGTACATTAAAGGTATTATTAGCATTTCAACATTAACTCAGTCACCATCTCTTTGTGCCACTGACTGAAGTGAAAATCTAGGTTTTAAGTTAACATCAATTGTACGCCAGTTGTCTTTTGTCAGCACAGTTACTGCTGTTAAGCAAAGTCACCTACTTAATCTAGTTTATATTTCTCACACACTGCTTGGATTTAGTTTAAATTGGCACTAATAATGCCCTGATATCTATCCTACACCTCAACTCTGTTCCATCACTAGAGCCTAGAGGCTTTTAAAGTTGTCTTTTTTTTTTGCACTCTCACTTTGTTTAAGGAAAAAAGGGTAAATGGACTGTACGTATGTAGGGCTTTACTAGTCTTCTGACCAATCAAACCTCTTTAACACTACATGTCATCATACACTGATGACAGGGGCTAGCATGCAAGGTGCCACCTGCCCATCAGGCCTATCTAACATTCATACATTGCCAGCAACTTGAGGTTAAGTGTCTTGCCCAAGGACTAGATATGGACTAGCGGAGCCGGGGGTCGAACCGCCGATCTTTTGATTGAAGGACGACCCTGCTCTACCACTGAGCCATAGTCGCTCAAAAGAGGTAGTTGTCCAGAGTTCTGCGCTGCAGTATTATGGCCTTCTGTACCAGTGTGGCTGCTGGAACCCTGGAAGTTGATCTGGCATTCCTTTAAGCCAGAATGAGGAATGAAAAAGTAGACCTAATGAATGAATATTATTGCCACATAGATCATAGGTACAGAGAGCAACTTTTAATTATCACAGAAGAATCCAGCAGCACTGACTCATCGGCAATCCAGAATATCTGGTCTGGTACATCCCAGAGTTGACTTGACTTAGTCTATGAAACCCTGTTAGCACTCAAATGAGTGTGGAGCAGTGAGATTGCTTTCTCATGGGTCCCAGCACATATTGGCATTTTTGAGCAACAAAAAATTTGCAAAGGAAGCTGTTAAAAAGAGAGACATAGAGGTAAACACAACATGATCTCACAGTACTGGGAGCACAGATAGAGACACCTTTATGTCAGAGGAGGGAACAGGTAAAGTAGACCAGAATGATAGTGGGACCCATGGCAGTGCCATCAGTAACAAACAGCACAGTGTACACGGTCATGTTATGTTCGGAGGTGTGGGGCAGAAAGAGAAGTGATGGGAAATGGGGTTAACAGAAATTTCAAAAAGCATTCGACTGTTTTGTTTTTCTCATTTCAGTTAACATCGCTTCTCTTTCTGCCATCACCTTCTGTTAGTAAAGAAGAAGGAATAAAATGGCTCCAACAAGGCCGCTTCTTACGAGGCCCTGGTCTAGGAAAAAAAGCCTCTGAGATGGCCCAGTAACGGACTAGTTCCACAAGGTGGCAGCAGTGTGACGTAACGGATGACAGCTGCCGAAAAACTCCAAAGAAGAAGAAGATGCCTCATGGGCGCCATCTTGCCGGTAATCAGCAGGGCAAGCATGCTTTCTGCTCGGACATGATAACTAATGACAGAAGACATTCATTGTTGGATTTATTAGTTTTATAAAGTCTCTAAGAAAACACTCTTTGTTCCTTGCTGCATTGCAAAGCTTCTGAAGGGAACACTATCTCACCGGAAAGCTACAACTTTGATGGAGCGGAGGCAGTTTAATGTGAGTTTCTATGCTGCAGCATTCCAGAGACATTGTAAAAATAGTAAATAAGAGTATTTTGATTTTTCAATCCAAATGTAACAAAAATATGTAATTTAGTGTTTCCTAAAAACAAACTTTCATACAAGCTTAAATTTATTAAAATTATGAATGAAAAATACATGGAAATGAAATTATCGCCATTAATATGCACTTATTATTTCAAACACCAAGGTTGGTCTGAATGTGTGCAACATGATTCATCTTGAAATTAATGCAACTCATTAATGCAATTCATGAACATTATTCAATTTCCAGTGTTAATGCTAACTATATAACTAAATTCTAAAAGAGTGTATCATTGTTGTATTTTTTTTAACTGTCAGTTGTGTTGCATGCTAAGACAAGTTATTTTATTGTCACACACTTTTAGATATGCAACCTCAATGGATGACATCTAGGAAGAAGAGGAACGTTGCAGACCAATTGAGGAAACATCTTCTCTGTGCTGAAGCTCTGAGGTAGGACTACAGTCCAGACTAACTGTGGAACACTTGTGCTCCTACCGAAAACTGTAGGAGCAACAGTACAACATTTAGAAGGACCAATGAATCGACATGCAAAGCAATGCATTCCTAATTTTTCCTGTTGTACTGATGAATGCTTTGGTATTAGACAATTTTCAGAAATAACAATGTGCTCTCTGAGTACAAATCTTGCTAAAGGAGCATTCTCACACCAGAAAAAGATCTAAACATATCATACCATAGTATGGCATAAAGATGTTCTATAAAAGTATAGTTTGTCGATTTTTTTTTTTACATAAGTCACAGTATAGCATGTCCAAATACGTCATGAAAAAGACATTCTATAATATGTTGAGAAAAGTCATGGTATAGTGTTGAAAACAGTAATTTAAAAAAATCATTTGTCGGAATAATTCATAGCGCATTATGTTGAAAAAAAGTCATAAAATGTCATACTACAGTATGTCTAAAAAAGTTATAGTATGTCGAGTAATGAAATAGACATCTTTTAGGATGTCAAAAATAGTCCTGAAAAAGTCATAGTACACTATGATGAAAAAACTCTAAAATGTATTGTATTTTCGAGAAAAAGAAAAACAGAAGAAAGACATTAAAAAGTTAGTTTAGTATGTCGAATAATGTCATAGTATAAAATGTCAAAAGAATTCATAAAAGAGTCATTGTGCAGTATGCCGAGAAAAGTCATAGGATGTTGAAAAAGTCAAAGTAAAGTATGTTGTATAAAGTCATAGTAAAGTATCATAGAACGGCATGTTAACATAAGTCATAGTATAGTATGAAGTAAAAATCGTTAAAAGTGAAGTATGTAAAAAAAGTGATAAAAATTATAGTATGTCCAAAAATGTCAAAGTAAAGTACGTCGAAATGAGTCATTGTATGGTATGTCAAAAAAGTAATAGTCTGACAAAATAAGTGGTAGTAATGAGTAATAGTATGTTGCAGTAGTTATAGAATACCTCTGGCACGCTGTAACTCACTTTAAATCGCCTCACTCAGTCATAGTTGTCGCTTTCCAACGAGGGCTCTGGTGCATTCCTGTCCCTTTCAGGAGTTTTGTAATCCAGCATGTAACAACCATGTTTTTAGAGACTTAATAAAACTAATAAATCCAGCTATGGTTGTCTTCTGTGATTAGTTATATATACATCCGCATTGAAAGGAGTTTGCTGTCGTCGTTAGCCGTTAGCTGAAGCCCACTGAGGGCAACACATTTCCTTCGCTCCTCACTTGAACCGGAAGTCGCTCTGGTCCGCCATCTTGGACAGTCATTTCAAAGATGTTTTTAAAAATTATTTTTATTATTTAGAAAAATTCAAAAGACATCAGTATTGATGGCACTTTCTGTGGGGAACACAACACATTTGTTTATTAATTAATTTGGTATTTCAGTGTAGAAAATGATGTATATTGTAAAAACATAAATAGAAGTCATGTCTTCCATTAATTGTCATTAGGCTACTTTGGGGAATGTTTCAACTGGTTTCAGTGATTCTTGAGCAGCTAGTTAATGAAGTGGAGACCACTCCTTAGAGACTTATCTGATTCATGGCCAGATGAACCTGTTGTGGGGTTAAAGATTTGCCCTGGGGCCGCACCAGAGACTGGTATGTACATTTTTGTCAATATCCAAAACAGCAGGGATAATGACAGTCCACTGCTCTGTGGAGCGAGGATGGAGGGGTGAGGAAGGATCCCTGAGGAGCCGTGAGTGAGGATCTTTACAGGAAACACGATAGCAGCCTCCACGAAAGTCTTTTAACTGCCGTTGTATATCAGCAGCTTCTGTACCGGAGTGAAGACAGATCACAGAATAAACTTAAGGGTTGAATGGAGATACATTTATTGATGTATAATTGATTTTTGATGCATCTCCTAAAGTTTAAAAGCTATAAAAATAATTTATGACTGTGAAAAAATGCTAGTGCTGGGCAACGATTACAATTTTTAATCGCATGATTTTTTTGCGATTAATCGCATTGTTATACACAAAGTTCAATAATTAATTCATAAGTAGTGTATTGCACACTTTTATTTTAAAAGTACTGCTATATGAACAAAAGTGCAATAACATTTGGTTTGCAAACACTTTAAGGTTCTTTTTAGCAGCAGTATTCTCTTTACACAGTAGCAGTTCTATCTCTACACTATCTGTGCTCAGTGTGCTGACTGTATGTGAAACGTTCCACTGCTGTGCAACAGGAATAAAATGTTTCAGCACGTTTCATCAAATTGTCTGTCTTGTGTCTTCATGACAGTCGGAGCATGTGAATGCAGCTCTACTGTTCATCAATATAATGCTGTAACTCCGAGGTGATGATGGTTACCCAGCGTTGATGTCCAGTAGTCTCCAGTGAGAGCAACAGCTGCTGCACGTTGTAACGCCGCCGCTTTAGTAGTCCTCTCCTTTTCATACAACTCGTGTATTCTTCTTGTGACGGTGCGTCTTGAGGCTCATACGTGCTGTCATTCGTTGCGATCCTAAAGGTGCGGTCACACCAAACGCGACGTGAACGCACCTTGAGAACGTTCCTCAGACCCACATCTTCCACAATACTAATCGGCTGCAGTTTGTAGCTATCCACTTCTCTGTAGC